CCTTAACAACTGAGTCGTTATAGCCCAGATAAAGATAAAATGTGTAGTAACGTCTGCTCTTTAATGTAACATGACTACAGGCTGTTTTAGATAAAGCGTTGAATAATACCAAGTGCATTTAGGGGGTATTTAAATTCAAAATGTACTGTACCAAAAAGTTGTAAATTCTTAATGCATTAAATGGCTGTTATCATCTTTATAAATTAAAGGGGTGTTTTGTGGCTGCTACCCTCTGAAGGCAGAACAATTAGAGAAGTAGTGAAACTAAAAGGTTCCCAAATAAAAAGGCTGTTGGGCTCATTTCAGTTTTTGGACTGTTGCACATTCTACTCACTGTTTTCACAGAAACTGTAAATTTCTGGGTAAAAAAAAAACTGATGTCAACAAGTCAGATTGTGACCCAACACAGCTAGATGTGTGTGTTTTGGCTTTGTGTATTTGTGTGTGTGTGAGACCTCATCGAAGTCAGAGATGATGTGGTTGAGGAGGCGGAGACATTCAACATGCTGGTGAACAAGCTCCTTCTGCTCATAGAAGTTGGAGAAACACGGCAGAGAGGCAAAGAGGACGCTGACCCGCTCGTACGACTGCGAGTACAACTCCTGAAAACAACCACAGAAAGACCTAAAAAGGCTGCAAATGATGCAAAGTGACCACAGAGACACAAAATGACAACAAACACCTCCTAAGACCATTGTGTGGGAACTGACTGAGGCTCAGCAAGACCTGCAGATACTCTGCCTGCACCCTAAGACACACACCTGTGGACAAGTGAATGTACCTCATTGTCGCGGTCTCTGTCCAGGAAGTGCTGGGCGACATGTGTGGGCAAGATGTTAAGCAGCAGACACTCATTGTGCTCCCTCAGCTCTTTCATGTCCTCCACCTCCTTCCTCGCCTGGAGGCGCCACAGGAAGTCCAGCTGAGCCATTGCCTCCAGCTACCAACAAACAGAGACGAACAGAGTAGGAACAGACCAGTACAACCCCGAAGGAGAGACAGTAGAACTCACCTGTCTGCTGTTGTAGAGGACAGCCACCACAAACATCACCATGAGAACCACACAGACACCCTTCCTGCACAGATGGTGTGACCTGAGAGATGAGTGGTAGAACTGTGACTGTGCAGGACAACTGGATACACAGCTGGACAGTGTGTGAGCTGTAAAGTGTGCAAAAGACAAAGCAACACAGTGCTGCTGGTTTTACTAAGGTCACCTGTGCCTCTCTATGAGGTAGGTGTAGAGGGCGGCGGCCAACAGCAGGAAGGCCAGCTTCAGCACACAACTCAGCCTGAGGAACACTGCGCAGGTAACCATGGCAACCACACCACTCAGCACCATGTACTGCACACAAGCAAGTCAAAGTCACACATCATCCTCACAGAGAGCTGAGGTGGTGCTGTTTTGCACTCACATCTGGATGTGTACAGATGTTGATGTCAGGCCAGGTGGAGGTGGGCGGAGCTTCTGAAGAGTCACACCACAGCTGGAGGGAAGAAGGAAGGAAGGAAACATCAGAAACTTTTAACCTTTTGCTGCCAAAAGCAACAGCTGTTGGGCAATCCTGAGGGGCAATGCTCCCAGTGGGGCTCATGGCTCGGAAAATTCCACCTGTCAAGAAACTAGGGGCCAACTAGGAGTTTCTTTCAACTTTTTTGTAAAATAGTGGAAAGTGAATTTTTCCCAGAGGTTGCTTCCCCATGTTCATTGGGCAGTATGGTAGCGTTGTTGCCAAATAACTGGGCAACTTTATGGGCAACTTCCCTTGTTGATTGGCTTTACGTGTCCTGTTTCTTGTAAACTGTTAGAAATTCTTGAATGGCAACATTTACTGTCTGTTGCCTTTAAATTTCAGTTGCCTTCAACCAACAGAAAAATTGAACACAGCAAATATTTCTTTCAGTTGTTTGTTGCCTCCAGTTTCTGGACAATTTTGAAAGGCTACTTCTTGCAAAAGATGCTGTGAGGCAATTAAGTTGTGAGGAGACAGTGACAACTCAGAGGAGAAGACGGCAACATTAACAATGACTATATACAAGAAGCATTCTCTCTGTTTGGGCAATTTTGATGGGCTGCAGGTTCCTGAATAGGTACTTCCAGTTGTGGAGAACCCGGGCAACTTTATTGACAACTCTGATGGGTAACTTCTGTTGCCCGTGTTTTCTGAAAGTGCGCTGCTCCTTCTCACCAGTTAAAAAAATCTTATTAATCAACAGTGTGTTGCCTCAACATTGTTGATTTAAACCAACAAGATATACAGCAGTTCCTTCTTCTCTTGTCATCATCTCAGTTTGGAAATGTTTACAACTAAAAGTTTCTTCAGCTGTTTCACTATAGTAGAACACCCAGAGGAGAATTATTGCAACTCTATCAGACTTACAATGACTGATGAGGTGACTCAGACGTTGACGGTGATGGCGGTGAGCGTGAGCAGCGTCCGGGCACTCTTGGTTTCATGAATCCAGCAACAGAGTGACTGGAGAGGGGTGGGGCAATACTTAAACCCCTCCCCCAGACACAGCAGCAGGAGCAGGAAGTAAATGCTGCCACCGATTACAAATTGAGCAACTATCGGACACAACCTGCACAGAGAGACAGATTGGTGAGCCCTTGAAGGAGGAAGGTTAACATGTAGAGTCAGTCAAGCCAAATGAATATTTACAGGGGATAAACAACAAAAATAAGAAACAAATAAAATGTATTCATTCAGGCAGGCTGACAGGTGTACCTGGGGGCGTTGATCAGCGCTTGGACAGCCATCAGCAGCAGCAGCAAGATGAAGGAACAAACCATGTTGGACTTGAAGAGTTCATCTCTCATTTGGGAATACTGAGAGACAAACAGGACAAGTAATGGTCACCAGACCGTTACACCTGAAAAAATCCGCCCCCTTCAACAGGTGTTACCTTTCCCTCCATGTGTGAGTCCTTGAACACCTGTGTGAAGGTGGTGATATGTTCTTTCCTCATTCGCTCGCTGCTCCGAACCTCCATGGCCTGGCGAATCCTCTGGTTGACTTCCCGAGAGCCCGTCCGTTGAGCAGCGGTCTGATTGGGCAGCTGGGTTAGTGAGCCATTGGTGAAGGTGGCGAGGATCTAAGGGACACCACAGGGAAAACATAAGGGGTCAGAAGTCACTGATCATTCACTATGTCTGAGATTCTTGGTAAAAGGTTTCCATAATCCTCACAAAATTCATTTCCAGGATGTCTCCAAATGGCAGTTCAGCACTCCAGGTCGTCATCTTGTCATAACTCGGACGTCTCACTTTCGGAGGCTGTGGCACCGAGCAGATCAAGTATGTGTCGATGTTGTGTTTTCGTAGAAATTCGTTGCGTTCCTGGCCGTTCCCTGCCTCTGTCTCATAATCCCCACCCAGACAGTCGAGAGTGGCTCGAGAGATGTGAATCTGCCCGAGAGGAGACCAAATAAAGATTCAGAAACATTTCTCTCTCATCTTCTATTGCCTCTGATCGGCAGAGCCTGGAGCTGTTCTCCTCAGCCTCCTCAGCCTGTTGTGGAGCTGTTACTCACTGAATCTGGATTTGTGTTTTAGGTGCAAAATCCAAAAACAGCCTTAAAGGGTGTTAATGAGACGTGCGAGTGTGTCTGACCCCGGCACTCCAGCAGCCTCCAGACTGTTGGCGATGTCGACGTCCCAGCTCCAGATGTCAAACTGCCACTTCTGAAACACAGCAGTGCAACACACCCTTCACCTCACTGAGAGCTGAGCCGGAGTGGACCCCATCCTCATGTCCAGCTCCTGCTGCAGCTCCTGACAAACATAACTGCAACACAGCAGTGCAACACACCCTTCACCTCACTGTGAGGCTTCATGTAGACACCGTGAGATGCGTCTTACTACATCTTTACCGTATCGTGTTGATCATACTGAGGCCCATCTCCACACAGCAGCGGGCGTGCGCTCTCTGAGGCTCCGGGACTCCTGACACGCAGTAGTAACCCAGGATTTTAATACGCAAACACTGATGCTCCTGAACACAGAGACAAACACACTGTCAGTGTGCATCATCCTCATCCTGTTCTTCATCACCAATGTTAGCACTGAGTTTGTAGGTTTCCACTACATATTTGCTGCAGCTGGATTATTAAGAGCACATTTGAACAGGGATTATATTTTATTAACTTATCCTAAAACTTACATATTTACACTAAGTTACGCGCTCAGTTGATTACACTAAATTCCTGCATCATGTAAAGTGCAAACTTAGTTTTTTAAACTCAAAAAAGTTGGGGAAAAAACAACAAACACAAGGCAGCTAAACTACAGTAAACTAAAGGTCAAACTCAAAACCACATGTAGCAGAAATAAATGGTAAAGTTATATAGTCAAATTCTAAAACTAAGATTTAAAATGGTAATTCAAACAGTACTATAATTTAAAGAGCCCATGGCGCTTTTCCTTTTCTGACCTGTTAGTGAATTATCATCTTAGACATGAAAATGAGGTGAACGTATGTTCTAGTATGTCTATGCCGAAGCAACTCAGCCTGAGGTTACTGCATGTCCAGGAATGTTCCTGTACAGGGACTCACTGTTTT